ATGGAGGGCCGGAAGAAGATGTTCGAGACCGAGTCCTAGGTCCCCGCGGCCACCACACCCCGCGGGGCGCTCCGGCCTCCGGCAGAGCCCCGGGGCTGGGGCGCGCTCGCCTCGGCTGTCAATAAAGGCTTCCGACCCCACGACCGTCCTGCTGTGGTCCTGTCCTAGCCCCTCTGCCCGCGCTCCGGGAGGCCCCGTCGGTGCCCGTGTGCGGGGAAGCCGAGGAGGGGGCGCGGGGGGGCCTGCATGGGCTCCCGGAACTTCAGGCTGGGTCGGCAAGGCCCTGCTAACCGAATCGCCCGCCTGCACCCTGGGGCTGCGCGGTGTGGTCAGCAGTCGGCGGTCAGCTCCTGGGTGCTCCCCGGGGCTCTCTCTGAACACACCGGATCCCGCAGGGGCTGGAGACCTACGGCCCCAGTCCTGTCTGAGCGGGGGGTTCTCAAAATGAGGTCATCTGTCCACTTGCACAGTCATCACAAGGGGCCTTGCCCGTGCAGAGACCCTCTCTGCAGAACCCAAGTCCCGCGGGGGCCGCGGCAGGCACGTGCAGGGTGGGCTGCCCCTCCCGGGATCCCACACCCTCCCGCAGGGCGCAGGGGGAGCAATCCTGCCTCGCCGCCCTCCCAGGGCGCCTCGCGAGCAGGGGAGAGGGGCTGCTTGGCTGGGGTCTGGCCCCACATGGGCCCCACATGGGCCCAGAGGGAGGGCTTGGCTCCTTCCTGCTCAGCCCCAAGGCCTTGGCCCACCTCACACATCAAGGGACGGATGAGGACTGTCACAGCAAGGCCGCGGCTGTCAGCCTCCCTGGTGATGGATGGTGCAGTGGTCCGCCTGCCAAGGCCCCTCGGCTCAGATCTTTGGTGGGGCGCCCGGGGGAGGCCAGGCCTGGGCCTCATGATGGAGAAGCTGTCTGTCCTGCCCTTGCCCCTGGTTCCCAGGGAGCTGCCGGGGGCCGGAGATGGGAAGGGGGGCTGCTGTCAGCCCCCGCCGCCTCCAGGGACCGGAGGCCTTCACGAGCACCTCCCGCCCCACTCCAGCCAGGCGGGCCGTGTCCTCTGAACGGCTCCCATGGGCTCGCCGAGCAGGTGACCCTGCAGCTCCCGCGGGCAGGACTTGACGCCGTGGGGGTGGGGGACACAGTCTGCAGGAAAACGAACTTTTTCGTAAAAGACTAAAGAATGTAAAACACAAAATTCCAGATGACGATTCACCTGGCTAGGAGCTGAGCAGGGGCCGAGGGGCTGGGAGCACCTACGGAGACGTAGGTTTGGGGATCGTTGTAATCTGGGGGCAGGACGGTGGATTTAGGGGTGTTTGTCACAGTTCTCAATGAATGGATACGTGAAGCAGAGCAGGGCCAGGCTAACCAATGTCCGCTGTTGGCCTCGCCCGGTCGTCCTGGTGTCCTGGTGTCCTTGCTGAACGGATACAACCACACAGCCCAGGGCGAGGCTGACGGGCGGCTCTTGGGAAGCATGTAGCCCAGAGCCT